CAATCCTCACAAGTCCTCCTGTAAGTACAAAAGCAGGAGCGACATAATCCAAACATTCTTAGAACAATTTATTAGCTATTTCAGTTAATCATGGGCCACATCTTCATCGAGTAATGTTACAGCCGAAAATATTTTGAGAGTTTCATTAAGAATTACTACAAATAATACGATGTATTGTACGATCCATTTTGATAAGACTCTTGCCCTTGATTAGGTCGTTCTCACAAACCGTACCTCCTCTGGGAAATGGGAAGATAGCTTTCTCGCCACATTCAATTGGGCGAGAAATCATCTAGCACAGCAGTGGGCTGAAGTCCCAGTCGGAGGAGCTTAATCTAAAGCGCCTGACTTAAAAGGGTCCGACCGTAAGGGACAGTGATAGGAGTTGGTATACCCGATTCAGGCCAGCGGAGAAGTACTGAAACAGTGGACATCTCCGAAACCCGCATCGCTCCGCGAAATGTATTCTTCCGCCAACCAGATGAGCTGAGCAGCTGCTGATAATCCCTTCCCCCCTCTTTTATACGTACCAGATACGCTCGTGTTTCTGCACGTTACTGTTCGCCCACGCTCCAATCTAGTTTGGCTTGAAACAGCATCAGAGTTCCCCCCCCCCCTCTAGCACTGATGGGGGTAACCAAAAATGAGAATTTGATGAATTTTGAGAATTAAAATGCCAATGATACGTACGTCACATGATCGAAAATAGTGCACCCACTGTACTCTCTACTGGGATCTGTGCGGCGGCCTACTGCTTCTGCAGTGCTCTCTCCCCCCCAGCTGGGACATCTTCGTTGGGCCTGGATGTTGCGCGCGCATCTACATCACTAGGCCAGAGGCAGGCAGGCGGCGATCGGGGAGAAGCGTTCAGCTCTGACCTCTTTTAAGTTGGTTGGGGATGGATAAAGTTTCTCCACGCTCCCGCTGCTTCAAGGCCAGACCTCGCCTGGCTCCTCCTGTCTGCGAACGTACTCATAAGCCAGTGCTACCACAATGCGTATTATTTTAAATGGAAGCTTTTGTTAGTATAAATTAACGTACCGTTTGTCGAGAAGTTTATAACTTAAAAAGAAATATTATGGAGCACATATTTATCTCTCAATCGAATGAAAGCGAACCAAAATGTTTAGTAGTGATTTTATTATTTTTTTCTGAGGAAGGAAATTCTGGCTCACATGTGAATCAGATACCTAGAATCCTCGTTTTTGTGAATAGCACAGCGAATTATTCTTAGAGAATCAATGTGCGTGTCAGGGTAGTGCGTTACGCAGTGGTGATCCATTGTAATGTTCGTGACCGTGTTGTCGTGTTTGCTCGTTATTTCGTGAGGATTAGTAATGACTTTGAAGTGCAGTAAAAATTATTTGCCTAACGATTATTAGGAATAATTCTGTGTAGTAGTATGTCTTCCAGAGAGGGTATAATTGATTATATTTTGAAGAGACCATTTCCAACGAAATTGTTCCACGAGTAGGTTCAGGCAATTGAAAATGGTAGGCCAACACCAGCATTGACAGATAACGAAAAGATTGGGATGGGGGAGGGAGCTGATTGGCCGCTAGCAGCTGGGATGTACAAAGTAATCACCGCCTGCCCCTGATCAGAGTATATTATAAGCGGGAAACATTCCAGGAACTTTTTAGACATGGAAAAAGCTAGAATTATGTTAGATTTTTCACGTGAATTTTTATTATGTCACATCAGAGGCGCACCCAGGATTTTTCTTGTGGGCTCTGAGAGGTGAACTACAGTTATATTGTTCAGTCCACTTGATGTTTTCTTATAAAGAATGTTCATTTGTGCTGAATATGAAATGTATTTTTTTGACTTATTGTTATTATTTGTAACCTTGACGATTGATATATATTGAATAAATTTCGTTAGTATTGAAAATTAATAGTTAAATAAAAGTTATATTTTTAAATACGTATCATTGGCTTGTGCGGGGGGGGGAGCTGTAACTCCATGGGTTCTTTTCCCCTTGTTTGTGTCATTGTTATTGTACCTGTTTCTTTAGATGTAAAAAATTGCACTGATTAATTTTGTCACATTTTACAACTGTACGTCGACAAATGCAACTTGACGTTTGACGTCATTTAGGTAATATTTCATTAATATAAAACACTTGTAATGAATGACACAGGACTCCGAAAACAGAGCACGTAGGTGCCTAGGGGCGTATCTCGATATTCAGGCGCGCATGGCGAGCATTGAATTTGTGCCCCTGTCAGAAAACTTCAAATGAGAGTTGCTGTTATTTGTTTTAGCGGGTATACTCTAAATGGCGCCCATGGCACGTGCTATGACTGCCATACCGTAGACACGTATCACATGAACAGACATGTTTACTCATCTCTTCTTTGCCCTCCGCATCTGTCAAGGTCCAGTGCGCGAAGGAGTATACAACAGAACGAGGGTAGTGTGTGAATGACGAACTTCGGCCAAAGAAAGCTTAGAAATGGAGATGTACCCCGTTGTGATCGTCCAGTATTTTTTAAAATTAGTATTCTCTAACGCTCGACGTCCTCAATATAATTTTTAATATTGTTAATTTAGTTGTAAGTTTATTTCAATAATTATAATTTTATCACTGCAGAAAATTTACGATTAATTTATCAATTATTAGTGTACCTATTATAGAATTTGATTTATCCTCTCTTTATGGGAAAAGCTTGCGTGAATTTCTGATTCTGACGTTAGTACGAGAAAAGCTAGAATTATCCAGGGATTTTAATTAAGAATTTCGTTTTAGACACTTGAATGAAACTAATCGCTCACATGACCGAACCGACTATAGCATTGCGAACGGGGGTTTCCCGCCGGTGAATGCCCGTCCGAAGGCTACGCTCGGCTTTCGCCTCAGCGCAGGAACACTATCCCTGCTCCGTCCTTCGCGGTCGCGTGCGTGCGTCAGTCCGAGCGGAACCAAAAGCGAACGTGGACCTAGGGACACGAGAAGTAGGAAGACACGCGAGCACGTGTGGCAAGGCAAGTTCTTCCGTAGTTCGGAAGCTGTTCGATCGCACGTTTTATCAACTCAACTTTTTCGGCAGGCCTCTGCGGAACTAGAGGCGAGTACATCTCATCTTCTGACGAATTGTACGAAATACGTATCTTCAGGTGAGATATTTTAGTCATCTTGCGTTTCTTTCGTCGCGTTTTTCTTTCGATAGTTAGGCCACATTGATTTCACAAACTGTAGTTAATTTTGAAACGTAATGATGTCTCAAGTGTGCTAACCATTTTGAAACGTAATGATTTCTCAAATGTGCTAACCATATAAGTCCATATTTTTCGTGTTCAATAACTAGACAAGTTTGCCCCGTGTTGAATTTTGAAGGTCAAAATAATAAACACTTTTAGGACTACAAAAAGGAAACATTCTTCAAAGTCAGAGATGAAGAAGTTTTAATAATTTTGCTGGCTACCATATAATCAGGCGTAGTATTGAAAATTTAATAGTGTTCTCAGTTATTCTCGAGGCGTGTGGAAAGCAAAAAATGTTGTTTTCCAATATTGTTTTTATTTATTGTTATTTTTTAATTTTCCACTTGCTACTTGATTTTAAAAAAATAATTTTAGAAGTAAATTATTTTTAAGATTTCTGTAATATAATTACATAGGTACATTTTGAACAATTTTATTATTTAACTTGCAGAATAGCCAATAATACTGAAGAATCAGGCCTGGATTTTGTATATCACTTAAATAGGTTCAATAATTAAATACTAATAATTTAATGATTTGTTAATATTTAAAATTGACGTTGAAAATTATCTAATTAAAAAAAAATGTGTTGGGTGAACTTGTGTGTAGTGTACATTACCAATTTGATACTACTGGAAATGAACCTATGATTGACTGAGTGCACATTTCCTTCCACTTTCATTTCAAAAGTGGATAACTGCTTTGCCTTTTATTTTGTGAAGAAACCGAGTGTGAATATAAATTATATTTAGAAAAGTTAAATAACAAAAGTCTAGTATAGTGTCTCCTTAGCCAGGACTTCCAGAGAAAACTAGGGGCCCGGCACAGTAGGTCGGGGGGGGTGGGTGCTTATTTAAAATAAAAGTTCATCCACCCACCTGTTCACCCCTCCCAAATACCCTGAATTCATCTACATGCAACAGAAATAGCTTGTAGTGGTTAATTGGGAATAAAAGTAAATACATTTTTTTTATATGAAAACAAAATTTCAGGGTCCCAATAAGTCAGGGTGTAGGGCATTTTGACCCCCTCCTGCCCCCCCCCTCCCTGGCAATACTTTTCCCTAGAGAGCATTAGTAATCTTGAATGCTTAATTGTTACACCAGATCTTCCTCATACTTGTTTTATTTTTGTTGAATATACAGTTCAAGGAAATGTGTTCAGTAGGCTTAAGGAGGAGAAGATTCTTTCAGTATTTGTAATTAGGTGTTGGGTCATCCAAGCTCCTGATTGGATGACCCCGAAAATACTGTAACAGCTAATATACATCAAGTGACTCTTATGTTTAAATTGAAATTTAGGGATAGGGGTACCTGTTATCTGTCCTAAATACTCACTACACAGGATGGACCTGAACTCTACTGACATGCTTTAGGAAATTACTTTTGGCAAGTGTTTCATTGCCGAATAGAAACACTCACTAAATTTTAGGTTGAACTGTACTAGTTTGAAAACAAAGAATCGCTAATGAAATGTTTGCATGATCAATGTCGCTGATTTCATTTTTTAATTAATATGAAATTGTAATTTTGGGGAGATAAAGACAGTATGACTATTTGTGTCATTGATGAAACAAAAACTTGTAATACTACATAGGACACACATAATGCTTATGACACAGCAGTCAGTCAAGCTTTATTATCTCCTATTTTGTTGACTCTGATTATTGTATTTAATAGTAGTACTTTTACTCTTGTGGATTTGAATCATAATTTACTGTGCATCTCTCCCTTAAGTCTAGAATGGTTATCGTCTCACTTTTATTAATTTTAATGTCATATTTTTTGTTGCAGATTCAAAAATTACCAAACAGTGTGGCAATCAAGAACCTCATATTGGAATGAAGGAGACTAGTCAATTTATTTCAAATGTCTCTGAGCACCATAAAGCCAGTACTAACTGCCAAACAGCAGTAAATGATCAGATAAATCCACCACTTTCAAAACGAATTCGCCTTAATAACACTGATACTGGATCAGGAGCAGTAGAAGAAAGTATCAATTCGTATAATAGAATAATGAATAATGATCCTTTGTTGACCTCCAGTATGGATTTTGATGATCTTATTCCATCCTTTGAAAGCTTAGGAAAAGAAAACATAGAATCAACCAATATCAACATGCCATCCAAAAATTATGAAACCTGTGATCTTCAAAATAATAATCTTAATAATATTAATAATACTAATAATATAAATAACATATCAGTACCTCTATCTTGCCTACAGTCAACACTGAATAGAAATGTTAATTGTTTGGAAAAAAATGCAGTAAATAAATTTGTTCAAAGTAAAGAAGGCATTCAAACACTGCTCAAGGACTATCGTGACAGCTTAATTCCTGATGAAGATGGAAATTTGTAAGTAATTTTCAATGATTAGCTCTATAATTTTTGTGTGTTTTATAATTACCTTTTTCAAAATCCTATTAGTTGAAAATACAAAATAACAATAAAATTACTAAAATTTGCAAAAGTTGAACACAGACCCCCTCCAAAAAATTGAGGTAACCTATTTTCAGGGTTGTTGAAAATATTGACATTGCAACTAGTCTTGGAGGCCAAGGTTGAGCTATTTCCAAAATGTTGAAGTTCTATTCTTGTGCATGTGTTCAAGTAGTCTAAAATAATACATACCTACTGAGGTAGGTTTCTTTTAGTTGCATTTTTTGGCAGTGCTTGTTTTGGTGACAAAATTTTAAAGTGTCAAGTTACTACAAAAGAAACATTATTTATTGGTGCCTTTATTACAAATCTGTAATGTTTATGCCATACATATTGGTGAACATAACAATAATTCCTTGAAATAGTAAATAATCTTCAAACCTGATAGTTGTTTCAAACACCTTTTCATTTCTCCTCATATAACTCATCACTTATAAATGTATATATTTTACTTTCAGGCCTCTTCATAATGCTGTGATGGACAGAGATGTTAAGCAAGTGCAAAGACAGTGTCTGGTATTGAGTGCACGGAAGCAATCAGTGGATGTTAAAAATAAAATGAAAGAGGTTTGTTAACAGAAGTATTGATTGTTTAAAATAGAAAATTTATGATACTGCATTTGCTTTTCATTAATGTGTTGTTGTTTTTTTTAGTATTTTAAAAATAAAATGTTATTGGGTCCCATGACATTAAAAAATTAATGGGATTCAACATTGCTAAAGAATTCAAATTACTGAATCTGTAGGCTCTCAAGAACATATAAATTAGTATTAAATGTACTTTAGAGAGTAGATTATTGGAGGTGTCCACAGAAGTGCTGGCAGTCTTCAAGTTTTGGAGTTAATGATCAAAAGAAATTACTGATCTTGGTGCTTCAGAGTACAATAAAGTTCTATGAATGATTTGATAATACTTCTTTCCTTCAGGAGCTGTTGTTTTGTTTTTGTTTTTAATTCTTATTATGCGTGCATGCATGTGACATGAAAGCAAACATATTGGAATCAATCTATTGCTACAGAATTGGCTGAGTAACTAATATTAGTAGGTCTTCTACACCACCTTATCTTCACTGCTGTCACTTCGACTAATATTGTGAAGTCATGAGTGTTAATACACAAAAATTAATGTACAGCAAAGAGAGAACATTTAGAAAAGCCTCCTCCATATTGGAGATGAGGTAATTTTTATAATTGAGACTGGATCAGGGATGAATATTGTAATTAGCAGTATTTTTACTTTGTTTAGAGAGTGATTTAATGCTGCTCGGAAAGTGTCGATTTTGTTTTTTACTTACTTTTACACTTACTTTTAAACAGGGTGTTAAATCCTCGGAATTCACTTCCAGCAGACTGCATTGAAAAGGAAGCTCTTGAATGTTTTCAAGAAGAGTGTATGCAGTCATTATAACTTACAATGATGTGATACATAATGTGACTCAAAATTCTTGTTTCAAACCAAATTGTATTATTGCGAAACTTCATTACATTGTTGTAAGATAATGTGTACAACAGCTTGTTACTGCCACCATCAATTAATAAGGTGTTAAAATGACCTGAAAATTTTAAATTATGTATTCCATTGGGAAGTTGACAATATCAGCATATCATTCTTTCTACAGTTTTCTACGTTCTACCAGAAAGTTCACTTCATTTTCTTGATAGGTGTAACTTTAAAATGCCACTTTTTCAATTTTGTTAATTAGACTGAGAGACAATGGCACTGTATATGCACTATTCAGAGCTCTGTTAGTTGGCATGTTTTGCTGTTCTGAATGTCTTCATCCCATAAAAATCGTGTAAAATTGTGTACAACTTATCATTAATCTGCCAGAAAAAAGGTATAGAGAGAATTTCTGTGGAATCTAGTTACTAACTCATTGGTGGACGGTTTATGCAGTTGCCCATTTACATATGAAGTTCAGCTTACAGATTTTATGGTGGGTGTATACAGTGATGACATTTTTGAGACTAATTTTAGTGAACTTCATCAATTGTTTCACATTATCTTTAGGATGATTATTCTTTTAGTTCTAATTTTGTTCGGTGATTTACTTTTTTTAAATTTGTTGTTGCAACAGTGATAATACAAAAATTTACAGCGATAATTCGAAATTCAATTTTTATTATCATTTGGATCACACTTTAATGTATTATGAAACAGTAAAGTTTTGAAATGTATGAGATTTTGGGATTATCTATCATGTAAATTCATCATTATAAATGTTTTGACTTATAAATGGATAAGAGTAAATAAATTACATGTATACATTTTCTTAATGTTTTGTTTCCTTATTTTTCAGACTGCATTGCATTTGGCAGTGTTGTGTCATGATGTGGAAATTACTAAAGTCTTATTGAAATTCAAAGCAAAACCTAATATACCAGATAGCGAAGGCAATACACCTGTACATATGGCTATCATATGGGGTAATAATATTGAAATCTTGCAAGAATTGTTGACATATGTAGAAGACAACAGTCCAACATTGAATATGCCCAATGATGAAGGTAATGTGTAAAATATGTCCTTTACATCGCAAATTGAACATAACTGTATAAATAAAAAATCAATCAAATTTCAGAATTGATTTGCTTGTTAGAAATATTGCACACAAAGAAAATAGTACATCCTTATTCATTTTATAAATTAAAATAGAATTGACTGAAATATTTCTGAGTGTTTTCTGTAATTTATGCATGTGAAACTGTTAAGAATTAAATTTAAACACCTCATTAATTGCAACTATGGATGTATTTTTTATGTTTATATTTAAGAATCTTTTAGAGTAACATATTCTCTATTGTGTTTCTCTTTACAATTTAATACGGTACAGTCTTACAATAATAAACCAAATCGAGGTTTGCCCTGTTTTATCAAAATATTTAGGTGTTTTTGTGAAATTTTGAATTATTTTGACTGTTTTGCATCCTATTCAGTGTACCGGAGAATTTCATATATAAATATACATGAAAATTGTACTGTACGTACTGTAAATACATGTACTGTATTTACTTGAGTGTATGACAACCTCCTCCTGAGAATTTTTTAAGTTTTAACCAATTCTTACTATTTAGTGAAAATAATATTACAAATGTCTTATTGACTAGAAAATTGCCATATTAATGAGAAGACTATCTAACTAACTAAGAAGACTAATAACTAAGACTTATTGAACTATCATTTTCTTGTTCCTTAAAATCATAGTTTTTGTCACTACCCTCATAGTCTTCACGTGTTAATTTATTTTTGGTCCTCCATCTATGCTGCGATACAATCTGACTTTTTAGGCCCCTCTGAAAGTTTTGCAAACTTCATTTGCATTGTTGTCTTTCCTCAGATGCCACCTATGAACATTGCCTCCTGTGCCGCCAGATTTTCTATCCATATCACACTTGTTGATTGCCTTGTTTAACTGCTCCAAACGCAGATTCGCATTCACAAGGCCCTGAACCAAGGTTCCATGCAGCCTGATCGAACGTGCATTGTATAACACAATCTCTACATGCATTTGGTCATTCGTTTTGAGATTCTTTACCATCAGATTCAAAAATATCAGCCTGCCAAATTTGTAGTAAATGCCGAGAATTCAAATGTGAATACAATTACATGTTGCAGATAAGTGGAATATTCTTACTGCCTTCGCGGTTTATTGTTATGTCAACATTTACATATTTCATGTCATGGAATGGTAATTAAAAATTTGACCCTAACTGACTAGGCGTATTTTATGAATATAAGATAAACCCACATTTTTCGACTGAAATATTTCAGGGGGGAAACTTTTTTTATATTCGAGCAAATACGATATTGTGTATTGCAGCGGACTGGGCAATTGGCTTTGGAAGTTTGGTTGAAACTAAAAGTGGAACCTAAGCTTTCTTTTTTCCTTACTCGTTTTTCTTTCAAAACTTACATTTTCTCCTTAAATATTCGTCATTGTATTTGATCTTCAAGCATTCTAGTGATGACTGAAATATTCTTACAATTCCAATTTAAAAACTTGTTATGTAACTTACAAGTAATAAAAAAAGCATGTTTTATTTTGCCACTCCTAGTTTTGGGCTTTCCTACTTTGTTGCAATATGTAATAAATTAACTGGAAGAATGATTTTTTAATGTAATAGTGGTTCTAATGTCTAAACCATGTATGAATGTACAGATTTGTTCAAATTATTAAACTTTTGTTTTCAACAAATTTTATTTCTGAAGCAACAATAGACAGTTAAGCTTCGTTCACTACATGCTGGTATACTATTTCCTCAATCAACTAAATGGTTATGAAATGTAGTTTTTTAGCTGATTATTTACGCAACTTCAAGTTTTTTTATGTGGTTCAGTTGTTTTTGCGATAAATGGAGACAGATTTTCTTTTAAAGAACAGTCCAAACCAAAAGTTAGCAAGCTTGAGTTCACTGGATGAAGCCTCTAACATACCCAACAGCTTGAGTTGTTCATCTGAAGAGGTTTTCATCAAATTTTTGACATCATTTTTCTTTTTTTTTTTTTTTTCTAGGACATTTTAAAAGCATTTTTGCAATGTTTTTAGATCATCAAAATCCACCCTTTAGTCATGATGTAGATGGTGGTTGGCAGATTTAACGCTTGAAAATATATTTTAGTACATAGGAGTCTAGTATTACTCACAAAATCAGAACATTTAAATTTTCTGTAGCAACTCTAATTATTTGAACAGATCTGTAGATGTGATAAACAGAATGAGTGTTGCAACTTAGTAAACTCTGGAAATTTTTGAACTTTTGAAGAAATTGGAATGCCGATTTTATTAAGGTGCGGGGGGGACTAATAGATGCAAACTGGCTGCACTGTTTTACACTTCGTAAATCATTCTTTTAAAAGTGAAAATAGTGAATCGTAATTTCATGCGAAAACCTGAATTGTATATTGAAGAATTGTAGGCCTGTCATAACAGAGCTATTAACTTACTAATTTAATTTTTCATACAAATATGTTCGTAGGGACACCCTCAAATGTTGTCTGAAACATTTTTCCTAATTTTCCCCTTTAGTTCTCCACAAGTTGTGGACCACTTCTGGGCTTTTCTTAATCTAAAAATTCAAGAATTTAAATTTATTGTTTTCATATTTTATTATTATTGTTATTTTAAAATGTTCATATTTTTTTTATTATTATTTAAAAATAAATATTACTAGGATATCGTATTTACTTATTTTGTTTTGTTTGTTTCTTTGCAGGTTTTAGTCCTCTTCATCTTTGTGCCCTTCATAACAAACCTTCTGAAGCTGCATTGCTTGTGAAGAAAAATGTAGAGGTTAATATAAGAGACAGAAAAAGTGGTAGGACACCTTTGTTTCATGCAGTAGAAAATGGGAACTCTGAAATATCGCAAGTGCTTCTAAATGCTGGTGCACATACGCATATTCCCAACTTTTCAGGCCAAACTGCTCTGAACGCTAGTGAACTGACATTTGTATTGGACGAGTTATCTAGAAATGTAGATCCTCCCAAAACCATAAAACCTCAGGTTGTTCCGTGTGTGTGTCGAGATAAGACCAAAGAAGATAGAACATCGAATGTTTCCTTCAATAGAAATGTTTTGGTATTAGAAAGGACTGATATTGATGAATTCAATTCTAATAATGACCTATGTAATATCAATTTTATAGACACTGTCTTGCATAATAGATGACAGTCTAAGTGGAAGAAAGGTTATTACTTAAATTTATCTATTGTTAGCAATGTTAGAGCAAAGAATGAGACAAACAAAGCATCCTTGAAACAATGGTATTATTTATATATTAGTTTAAAAATTTTGTTCTTTTCTTATTGAGGATTATGATAACATACATGATTACATGTTTATGATAAATTGTTATTGGAAAATTCTTATTTTAAACTGCGTTTTGAAATGAATAAATGTTGACAACTTGCTTTGCTTTGTCCATTTTCTGAGAATTCGTAATGGAATGCAATGATGATTTCCTTCCCTGTAAGGTATTCTGGGAAGGTAGAATCTTTTATAAGATCGAAAGCAATGAATTTCTCATAATGAAACTAATGAATGAATTCGCAGTTAATAAATGCATTGAATTTGAGCTTTATTCCTTTAGAATATGTTGTAGTACTTGTCTAAAATGTTGGTATTATGATAATAAATTATCAAATAGTCGTGAAATTAATGAAAATGTAAAAAAATAAATAGCCTCAAGATTATAAAGGGATTGTGTAAGAAAAGAATTACAGTGGAATCTCGTTTGCATGTTTTTCAAGGGATCGAAAATTTTGAACTTCTTAAGCAGGGAACTGATAATAAAAAATGCTTTAGTTGTGAATTTCACATTTTTGTTCAGAACACTAATAGGGAATAGAAATTAATTTTCAAGATAGAGATTAATTATTTTGAAAATAAGAACCAATTAACTTTTAAACTGACATGCACAGAATACACAAACTAAAAATAAAGGAAATTAATAGGTCAAGAAAAGTGTGATTTTGGACTATAAAATGTAAAGAAACACTTTATAGCACGATATAAGAACAATATACGTAGATGATGAAAGTACAGTAGAATTCATTTCACTGGTTGTAGGTTCTTAAACTAATGGACAACAATTACCCTTGGTACTTTTCTTCTCTGTATTTGTTTCAAGTACCTCAAAAGTTTTATGGAGACTTTGCTTCTATATAAAAAATCCCTTAAATCACTGTATATGTTACTGATCTTTTAATGACTGCTGTCAAGTTGGATCATAAAGCATAAACAACTTGTTTTACAAAATTGGAACCAGGACTTGAAAATACAGATGTGCAGTATGGGAAAACATGATAACTGGGATGTGCTAACAAGATTCCACTGTATGAATAGCAGAAAGTAATAAAGAACCTAATTTATCAGTGTTAATTTATTAATTTTGTGTAAGTTGAAGAGTATTTAATGTAATAATAAGAATTTGCTTGTTCTAGAACATTACTTTTTCATCTAATTACAATACACCTGAATACTAATAATACCGTACTACATTTTCATTTCTAAAACTATGCTTTCATTGTGAAGCTGATGTTTAGGTATGAACAGCTTTTGCTGAATATGTAGGGAACCTTTTTGTGGCCCTTAAAATTAATAAATATTTATTTTCAGAGTATATTTTTGTTTCTATTCTCCAGTTCTCTTAGCTATGTATGTCTATTAAGAAATTATGTCCATTAATATGCGCATGTATTTATATCAAATAAACAAGAGCAGGTAAATAGCTGCATGTAGCGCATGGGGAGAAGTAAAAAATGTGCAAATTTTTATTGTGCTGTAGACACCCTAACCTCTGTCTTTTAGTGTACTAAGTTGAATATTATAAAGAAAGGTTTGTCAATTTGATGATTGGAAATATTCGCTCCTAAGTTATATCTGTTTTAAATGTGGTGACTTGTATCAAGCATGGTATATAAACATATCACCAAGGATGATACAATGAATTATCGCAAGTGCGAAGCAATGAGCTTCTCTAATCCCTTAGGCCATGTTATCAATTCATAAAGTAGGTCATGCATATGGTACCCTATCGACCAATCATCGTCTGGTCCCAACAAAATCAGTTTGGCTGCTCCCCGAGGGCTAGTCCAACCACTGTAGTGTCCTAAACCCTACCCCAATGCTAATACCTTCCCAATTCCGACGCAGGACCTATCTGGATGCTACCTGGCGGTCCTCTTGAGAACTGATCGAGACGCGACGGATATGACAATGTTAAAGTAGTAATGTAAAGTGACAATGTAGGATTACTCTAAGCGCTCAACGCCCCTAAAGGGGCTTGGAGACGCGTTTCAAGGAAGACGCAACAAATTGAATAAAAAAAATTAAAATCAGGTAAACCAAGGAAAGAACGCTCCCAGCTAATAATTGTTCAATACATCTGGGAAATTTCTCTGAACATCGGAATTGAGCAATATACCAGTGCAATCACGTGAAGAGGGGATTTTTCTCGGAAGAATTCTTTGCCGCAACTCCAGGTAAAAATTTTTCACGGCGTCGGTCGCAACCATAACTCGTAAAAATCATCCGAAGATTCTGCCCAACAGTTAGGCAGCATACTTGTCGCAATAATTGGAAGCGGCCTTTTCTCTGCGTACCGAGGCGCATTTGCAACAACCACTTCGAGGCATAAACGGGGACATGCCCACCAGTTTGGCGGTTTGCCGATTAATTGGGCGACGCGAAGCAGCTTAGCATGGCACCAGATTGGCTGAGCCAGTTATCAGCCGGCATGCTACAAAACCTGCTGTTTTTGCAACAATTGATGCAAAACTGCGGCGTGCAATTGTTGGAGAGTAATAACCGTCGGTCGTGTAAATACACCGGACCAATCATTTACTTGCTCTGTCTGTCCGTTTATTCATTTTATATTCACTGGAAAGAAGGTTCCAGTTAACTGTCGTGTACATTTAATTTGTTATTTCATCTCATCACTAAATATACCAATTTGAATGAATCCGCGACCTTGAATTTTTTTGCAAGAAAATTAAGTGTCATATTTCATCAATGAAAATCAGTAAAACTTTGCATCTTCACCGAACCTGCGCTACTCACCCAAGGAACATTAATGCCTGTTCCCAACGTAGTCAAAGTTTATATTGCACTTTGCGCCCAAAATCCGCGCTTGCAGACTGAAGTATTTCATAACTTGGATCAGTGGCGGCTGTCACGGTATAGTATTGGTAGTGCTAGTTAGTGATGCGACATCAATATCAAAATCTCGATGTTCAAAATTAAAAGCCATCGATAGTTTAAGGCTGGGTTAGTAATCTCTTAACATTAAATTCGTGAGCAACAATATTTAATTTTACAGTGTCCGCTTCTATTAATGTATAATGCATATTTAAACGGAAAACAAACTGAAAATAAGAACAAATATAAATACTCAGCCTAAGTGCTCACAATGATCTTAAAAGAACATGGCTTCTTAAAGAGTACCAAAGAAGAGGGGAGGCCTTACGCCCACTGCGCCCATGCGTACGCGGAGTATTACTCAGGTATTACTGTACTCTATGGAAGAGAATGTAAACTACTGCGCTAGTTCGATGTTGGCTCTGTGTCATCCATACGAGACATACAAATCAGAGATTTAAAGAGACTGGCAGATAGCACTACGTCCTGAGAGTTTGTAGAGACATAGCCTGCTAGTATGTCGAACTATACACACTAGCGGGCTATGGTAGAGAAAATAGAGATGTCCAGAACATGTGCCTTCTGCTTCGGAGGACAGCACTGTCACTTTAGGGTAGCACATGCTCGATGCCGCGAGGTGATGATTAAAATACGGTATTGTGTCAGTTTTGTTACTATTTTTACTAATGTTACCTAATTTATTTATTTACGTCAAAAACAGTTAAACACTGTGTGTGTGACGTGCTATGGGGAGAAGTTAATTTGAAGTTACATTTATATCCAGAAGTGCAATCTCAACATTTGCTCAAGGATCAGGGAAACTGGATAAAAACCTGAACGAGATGGGGGTCATTGACCCAGAAGCTGAAGTACAATACTTGTTACAGATTATGTACAATTATACAATCGAAATGATAAATAATACATTAAATATCATTGTTAAAATTTATATTACTTTCCTTTTGGATGCTCCGTATAGTCTCTAATTGTTTAGAAATAATTGTGCAACAAAAAAGATTTTACTTGGGACTTCAACTTTTGCATCGATCTTGAAAATATAGTATAGGTACACTTTGTTTCTTTCTCGAAATGATTCCGTGAGTCTTGGTCATGTTCAAGCCACTCCGACCCGAATCTTTCTCTTCGCCATTTATCTTTCCTACGGAAGGACACTGTCCGTAATAAATCCATAATCATGACGGAGTGGCGCGAGCGCTAATAGGCGTACCCAAAAGTGATCGAAATAGTGCTGCGATTGGCGAAGTTTATGTAGTACGCGTTTCTCCCGCTTGGGAATAGTCCAACCCAGTCCGTATTCAGCGCATTGTTGTCACAAGGGAAGCCATAGTTCTTTCGCGATAATTTGTTTTGTAAAAGCTTCGGTTGCTCCTCGTTCTTTGTTACGGCGGTTACAGCGCCAAAACTGTTATGGTGTTTAAAATAACTTATAAGGACAATGCTATGGATAAAACTAGCCTACGCATGGTTTTCTTGTTTCAAAGAAGGTGGAATGTCACTTGATGACGAACCTCGTTCTAGACGTCCGTTAACTTCCAGAATTGATGAAAATGTCGGAAAAAACACGAAATTATTATCGTCACGAAGATCGACCACGGACCATTGAGATCAGTAAGTTACTGTAATTACGTGGAGCTGAATTCAGTCACAAGTTTAGGGATGAGAAGAGTGATAGCAAAATGTGTGCTTCCGATCCTGAATGAACAGCTAAAAGAGAATCGTATTGAAACTTGTCGGGCATTGAAAGACGAAATCTGAACAGACCCAGATATTTTTTAAGTCATTACTGGTGATACGACATGGTGCTGTGGTTACGACCCTAAAATAAGTCAAACCAGTGAGAAACTCCATTGTCGCCTCTCCCCAAATAGTTCAAGTGAAATCAATCGTCAAGACGATGCTCATTTGTTTCTTTGTTGAGGAAGGAATAGTACATTCACAATTCGTTTCCATCACGTCACCATCAGACTGAACGTTATATTTCGAAATTTTAAGATCTCGTAACAGTGTGCACCAAAAAAAGTCCGATTCGTGGCTGACAAGAGAGCGTTTTTTCAACCATGATAATGGTCCTGCTCATGCAGTCCTTTCAGAGCGCCAGTTTTTAGCAAAATAATATGACTTCCTTACCTCACGCCTCCTTATTCACTTGACATCGCCCCGTGAAATTTCTTCTTGTTTCCGCGAATGGAGAGGAACATAGAAGGGCAAATTTTTGACAACGTGAAAGCGGCACAAAAAAAAAAAAAAGAAAAAGAAAAAAGGAGAGGGCTAAGGTTGCTTTAAAAAAATACATAGCTTTGTCAAACAGGTTTTCATATTAATAGATTTCCCCAGATGCACTGGAAGAAAAAACTCAGCAAAACCAAATCCTTCACGTTTTGGGTTCATGTACCAGAAGAGTGGGGTAAATTTCTGGAGAGGATGTTCACTCTAGATCCCTACCAGAAAAAAAGTGGCTGCGCTAGAGAAACGACAAGTCAGAAACGCCTTAGGGCAGATTAAGTACTTCGGGTACGAATTACGATATTCTATGCACATTTCGCTCACGACATAAATGTCGCCAGCGTGCGCTGGCAGCATTTGACGGTCGAAAACGCACGCGAGGTGCTCGAACCACGGAATAAATTAGAAGCTTGAACGAGGCCTGCCCTGATCGAAGCTGTCTTCCTGCCGCACTGAACGAGGGAACCCAGCCAAGCAGTCAAGTCGTGCGCATCCTGATGCAATTTGGACCTTGCGGCACCAGGCACTACACCACAGGTGCGCCCGTAAACCCGCCGCCGACCCGTGCCGTCACAATAATAATAATAATAATAATAATGATAATAATAATAATAATAATAATAATGATAATAATAATGCCTTTATTAATTGCGAAGCTTGCTTTAATTGCATAGGGAATCCTCTTCCGCTTTACCATTGAATTTACATACATACAGAGTAGTAACATTTTAAGACGGGACGACCAGCTGAACATTTACGTCTCGGAGTACAAAGCTAGGGACCATCCCGGCATACGTTTTAAGCTTGTGGTTGGCTCTGCAGTCTTTCTGTCAGCATTTCGTCTGTGACACCTGCCATTGAAAGTGGGCAACTACCATTGGCCAGGCAACATGCCTTTTTTGCCGCTCGAAACCACTGTTGGTCTACAAAGGACTGTAGAAATGCAAAAGACGACAGTTGCGATTCACATTGTATGATAGTTGGGCAAATATATAATGATTGGTATTAAAGAAGTATAAAAAGAATTATGTTTTGAATGAAAGAAAAGAAAATGTTTTGTCTAGTGACATTCAAGCAAAATAAATTATAAATAAATCTCATAGAAATGATAAATTATCATATTGCCCTTCTCATTAGGTTCTTGAAGAAAAACTAAATATATATATTACGAACGGCAGCGAATATTCGTCAACATCTCCAACGCCAGGTATGTCCAAATCCGTAGATACTCCACCAAGCGAGCACAATGAAAAGCCAGATGTTAGCGCGAGGGGAGGGGAGGGGGGGCGGATCCTGGTAGTTTTTTCACGGTGATTCGCGGTTCATTAGCTATGTGTGCGAGGTTTTGAGACCAATGTTGTTTGGGACATTATAGTATACCTATCATTATTTAAAATTATAAATAAAGAACATGTGTACTTACCTATTTGTAAAAGAAGTCGTCATGCCTCTCCTTGCTCGAAGTAAATTGTGTGATTATTCTTTCATTAAAGTCTGGTATTTGCATGGGTAATAAAGTCACGCTCAATGGAAATCATAGCAACAACTGATAACCTATCTTCTGCCATTTTATTGCGTAGGTTTGTAACTACCGTGGCTAACTGAATAGAATCTATATGTCTCGTCGGTCACGAAAAGAGATGTACTGTTAACGTCCACGGCCAACAAATGCAAGGTCGATCCACGGTGAAGCATTTTTATTATATTCTTTTGCTTAGTCCTTTCTACAAAATTACAAATATAATGTATAAATTCGGTTTGTGGAAACTTACAAGAAAACTAAAATACGATTTTCATCTGATATATCGTCACAGTTCGTAGTCTGCAAGAAAGATTCAGAGACACCTGGCGGAGATGTTGGAACTACAAATTCGCTACCGTCGAGCGCGCCGAGGACATCGTCGCAGCAACTCTCTGGTTAAGGTTGACTATAACAACATTGAGACGTCCACTCCGCGAAGTCCCACCTCCTCGTTCCTGACAGTCACTGGTTTATCTTCGCCTATATTTCAACGTTGATGTCGAAGGTGTAGCAAGGCTGTGTAAACGCTCAGGCTTGCAGTAAATGTGAGGTTTAATTTCTTGCATCTAATTTGCAGTTAATGCTAGTAAAAATTGTGATGCGATTGTGTCTTACTAGAGTTATAATGAATTACACAAATATTCTGATATATAATTCCTATATTCTTGTACAGTGGCGACATTTCTTTGTTGTAGCGTGTAACCGGTACGAGCTGCCACTGGCTTTAACTAAGTAACATTTTGATTCACAAGAAAATATTTAGAGGGGAACATTTCACTATTAGCCATTTAATAACATTGACAAAAGAAAACTAAGTTGTAAAGACAAAAGTTAATATTTAATAGTTTGACAATCTTCGTATTTACCTAACTTCCTATCTTCTATACTTTACAAGCCTTATTTGTATGTTTGGAGTTTTAAAATAAACTCTCTTATTGCTCTTATAGGAACTTGAATTTAATAAGAAATCGACAGGCCTGTGGGAGAATTCCACCACACAGTTCGGGTGTAAATGTGTTTGAGCCTGCAAAGTGTATTGACAAAACGTTGGCCTAAGTCCCAAGGTACTGCATAGAAGCCGCAGAGGTCCGTTGAGGGTTAAGGCAGCATCCGCCAGTTTCAGATGACGGTGCACCGCCGTCCCCAAGCGAACCAACATGACACTTCTCTAACCTCTTCACATACACAACCCTTTACTACAGCGGGGGGGGGGGGTTGCCCCCAGGCTGCAAGGACAAGCTAGTCTAGCCCACCTCTTAACCGAGATTCAGAGAATAACCCCATTAACCCGTCACAGTTCCTTGAGGGCGTGGACCCGATTGGGATCTATATTTTTGTGAAATCTCAGCCAATGTTAAAGCCGTTGTGTTGTTGTTATATTTGAAATAATGTTTTCGAAATAATGAACTGTCCGAGCTGGGCAAGATACTTGAAAAAAAGTATTTCAGATACAAAATACATCGTCGAAAGTATTTTAAATATCAGATACAAAATATTCCCAAAAAGTCATCTTATATATAAAATACAAAATAATATTTTAAACTACTTTGAAAAATACAAAATACAACCAATTGTTATCCAGTTTTACGATTTATTTATCAAAATTTATGGTTTATGGCTTATTTATGGCTTACAATTAGACACGTTTCCCTTCATATCTACTAGTTTTTTAAACATTGTATCACTAATGTTCCTTCTTGTAATTGTAATTGAAAAGCATATCACTCCATTAACATTGAATTCTGTAGCAAGATCATCAAACTGAATTTGATCATTTCCTTTTTCCTGAGTATTGAAGAAACCAGATGTTAAGGTTGTTTGTTATAACTTCTTGGCATTAGTATCACTATTCTGTGTGCTGTTCATTTTCCTCCTATGAGAATTTGATTTTCTGAACCACGCATTTTTATAGTTCTCAAATTCACTCATCATATCAAGATGAATTCTCTAGCATGTGCATGTAAATTGTAATTCCCTAGTGAAAAGAATGAGCAGTAAAATTCACAGTCTATTGAACGCCATGATGTACACTTTAAAATTTATAATATTACTGCTTATTATTTTTACCTTCAATTCTTAAAATTTGTGGTCGCATTTTAGGAATAACTCATTGTTGTCTGTCAGACTTACAAATTGCACATGTCGCCTACACTTTTGCACCATACTCTACAATAACAGTAAAATATGTTCCATTTAGAATAGCAGATTTTCATGACTTAATAACCTACACCTTCCAGACAGGTGGCGATGAGTAATGTGACAATATAACGTCCGTGAAGTGGTCTCCAAAATCCCTTAATCGATATCTAGAAGTGCCTCCGAAAATAAATTTTCTTCTATTAACCAAAATTTTGAGTTATCAAAAACGTCATTTTAAATTCTGCTACTGGTAATGCAAAATTGCTTCAAAATTTTAAAAAAGTGTTATCGACGCTAGTAATTACAGGTTTGACGGTGTATTTAAATTCAACAGCGGATTAATAAAAATTATTTTTTTTTATTTTGAAAATACAAATCATTATCAGAAAGTATTTTCGATACAAATACAAAATACATGTTCAAATTTGTACTTTCGATACAAAATACAAATTACAAAAATACGTATTTTAAATATACGTATTTTCGATACTGCCCATCTCTGTGTATTGCTATAATAACGCAACGATCAAACCACGAAAAGTATTGAATGGCCGACGAATCAAATAACGGATTTGATTGGATATAAATATATCTTGTTGCCTCAATTTAAAAACTTCAACGTGATATTTATTTGCTCTAAAACGACTTTATGAACTTACTAATACCTAAATTGTAAGCTTTTCATAAAGTTCCATTACCTCGCCTGGTTTTCGGAATATTGTCGTGCAATTGCTGCACAATTAATCTAAGAAATGGAGCAACATTGTTAATGTTTATTTTTCAATTTTGATATTTAATAGCATGCATTTGACCCAATTGTTAGGGTTTTATAGTGATTTGAAAGAAGCGCTTAAATTTCGGGAGCAATCGGCCTTGCTCTCGCGTGGCATTCGTCAGAATTTGCCGGCGCCTTTCCCGCCTTTTCTCATTGTGTTCGCGCGCGTGCATTGCGTCCGCCGTGCCTTCCCGCGGACTTGTCAGGCTATCTACTTTTTTTTACAAAGGTAGTGCGTAAAATTCATGACAATTGAGGAAACGTTCAGATTATAGAGACCTGAACTTCATAATAACGTATTTTGTGTAGATTAAGAATGGATGTACCTGACGTGCAAGTGGGCCAACTCCGAGTTGTTGATGAAGTTGGGGCCAGGTGTCAGAAACTATTTCAGGACTTTTTGGAAGAGTAAGTTATTCATTTGATGTTTGTTTTAAGCACGTTAGTAAGTAGTCTACATGTATTTAAACATTTGACAAATTGATGAATGTGCCAAATATATGATTTTACACAATAGTCACCATTAAGTGGGCAAATTCAGTATTGATATAAACTTGTAATTGTGAGATGGTCAAAAACGCCGAAGTTGTATTGTCTGCATGGTGTGAAATATATGAAGAGTTTATGACTGTGAATGTTACATGAATTGTCATATGTTAAAAATAATTTGTTTCCTGTGCAGTTCTGTGTGATATTGTACAATTTTTTTAACATTATAATATCATTTCTTGCATAGCAAGGTAAACCGTTTTTGACTTCAAAATTGTTATTTTTTCGATCGCTGAATAATTACTTCGAAGCTTTGAAAAATATTTTTGAAGATCTAATTTTATATAATCATTTGCAATAAATGTTTTGCAACACGTTTTGTTTCATGCTCCTTTTTCATTTTTAAACTGTTGTATCTTCTAGGTTTAAAGAAGAAGGAACCCTCAAGTATGTTGAGGCAGTGAAGGATTGTGCAAGGCATGAAAGATCTTCTCTTGAAATTAGCCTTGAAGATGTAGAAAAATATAATCAAAGCTTGAACAAAGTCATAATTGAAGATTATTACAGGTGATTCACAATCCAGCTTCTCTCTCTCTCGTCCTTTTTTATAATTTATTTATTATTATTATTATTATTATTATTATATTATTATTATTGCACTAAATTAAGAGAATCTGTATATTTATACCGATCTTGTATGCAAATGACACAACGTGCATCAGTAGTAATAAAACATAATAGCATTAAAAGAAATATGACGCGATGCAATGCATCAAATTTCTAAAAATCTAAGTCACAATAATCTAAATTTAAACATAAACAAAAAACATATGGTACAATTTAGACACCACTAGCAAAACCAAAATTACAACATAAATTACAACAAAAAAATAAACAGTACACCCTCAGAGAAGCGCGGTGGCAGGGGGAGGTCTCCTTAAGCCCTCCCTCAAATTACGCTACGCACTGATAGAAGTGAAAGAAACTTGCAGATTGGCATTGTAATGCCAATTTACTTCCAACTGCAAGTTTTCTCGCTGGGATCGCCCCTATCCAAGTCACGACAAGGCTCAGGCCTTCGGTCCTCGCATTTACTATAAACATCCTTGAGTCTATTCACTGAGTAATTGCCAATTCACTTTTATAAGAAAGCACTTTCCAAGAAAACCTCCAGAATTAATTTGTGAAAATGCATCTTTGATATGAGGTTTTTTAATTTTTTATTTTGTCATTGTTCTCCTTTTTTCAAAGTAATATTTTTTCCCAATTTCATATTTTTAAATGAAAAATAGCCAGATATAGGGCCAGTTGCATAAATCTTTTCTTATGGGTTTCATAGTTACAGGTTTCATAAGCCGTGCACCGTTGCATAAAGCAAATTTAGGGAATCTATAACTATAGATTATATAAGAACTTTGAGATGACACCAATAGATTGCGACAGTTTATATTTGAACACTAGTTATTCCTTACAACGTTGTGCATGTTCTTAGCATGTGCTGCGTTTAATTGAGGTGTTTTTGGTTGTGTTTTTTAATGCGTTCTGAATAGCAATTCCGTTTTATTTCATTATTTTCGTTTTAGTTTATTTTTTGTTTACTTCGTATAGTATTGTAAATACAATTAATTCTGTATACTAGCCATTGCCTATTTGTATTTAAATAAATGAATTTACTTTTCATTCTTAAATTTAAATATTAATTTTTGTTAATACAATTCATAATAAATTATAATTAATAATGAACTATTCAAATCTTTTTGGAATACAAAGTAATAATTAATTCGCTATCTAAACAATTAAGTAGAATGTAATAATACAAGTAGAGCCCAGAAGTTAAGGCACTTAATTTGTCAAATATAGGCAGGCAATAATGCATTAAAAACGAGTGAAAAAAAATCAGAGGGTATCATTTAAATTTTTAAAATTTTATTTGTAATACTGACATTGACAAGGGAATATTTTCGTCATTGGTTCATCAATAAATTTTGTAATCTTCTTTGGTTATCTATTTATTGGAAAGAAATTGTTTCACAACTGAAAATTATTCTTTGTTACAAACCAAATTTCTGCCTTCTCACTGCAAATTAAATTCATTGATGATTCTATGAAGGGTTAAGTGTGGGCTGAAATATTTTTTACTTTTTCTTTATAACTTTAGCCTAATTGAAACAGTATTGTTTACATTCATTGCACTCTTTTATTAACCAGTACATGATACAATCTGGCTTTATTGTATCATGTACAAAGGTGTTTGTCCTCAAAAGGGGTTGGATGCCACACGTAAGCATGGGATGGAATTACATTGATATTGGTGCTTTGTGAAAAAGAATTGAAGAAAGGAAGAACAAAATATCGTAGCAAAAGTTAACATATTTTTATAACCAAATTTAATCCTTCTCATCACAATACATGCAAAAACAATGTATGAATATAGAATTCACTGATATTCAACACATACAAATACACCTAAAACGTACACAACACACTAAATAATATTCATTAAAGCCACCAAAACACAATGCAACACAACACACGAATGTCAGCTACAACCAGTAACCCCAATGAAACAAAACAGCTGTAGCAGTGCGCAGACCCGCCATGTTGCTTATTTGTTGATTCCATAAGCATTTGAAGATCTGTTTCAGGACCTATAAGTTATAGAAAGCTTTATGGGTTCCAAAAGTCTTATTGGTTGTTCTAGAAACACATTTTGCTGCTAAGGACTACTTTTAAGAACCAATAAGCTTATGGATTCCATATTGAACGTTTATGCAGCCGACCCAAAGATTTCTAGACCAGTTATTTCAACAAAATTATTTACTTGTTATTTTATAGGGTACCATTTTGTTTAATTATGGTTCATGTTATAATTTTTATGAAGGCACATGTGGACTAACACAACACTGACGGGTTAGTTTTGTTGCCAATTATTTTTTGTTGTTAATACATGTCTTAATTATACTGTGGTTTAAGATCTCTGGGATTGCAAAATTTTTCATTTCCCTTTCAAATGGCACCAGAGGCACCTAAAGAAATCAGTCAGGAAGTGTTTGTGTGTCTTTCTATGAGTAGAATGTTTTTCCACCACTTTCAATTACAGTAAAACTTCACTTATGTTTTTCAGAGGACTGAAGGGAAAAAATGTATAAGTGTGAATAGCGCTCAACCGAAATTGAATATTATGATCTAAACAAAAACTCAATATTTTTACATTGTCATGCTCCACTCTTGGGCCTCATCACAGAAACTCCTACCAATGCTACTTGCTAGGAGTTTATTTAGTCAAAGAACAGTAAAAACTATGTGAAGTTTGGGGAAGAAGTACCATCTGTGCATGTTTTCTTGAGCTCCAGAATCTCTTTCAATCATTTTATCTAAAAATAGTTGAATGATTAAAAGTAAAAAAAAAAAAGCAAAGTTAGCAACTTGAAATTTAGACCTTTTTACTCCCGTGTTTTAGAAAACTTATTTGCAGCAATGAAGAACCCACAGTGTTTGTTTGTATTGCTAACAATAATAACACTCTACTTCTACCATGACTAGGAAAAGGTGATCTCAACAAAACATGCGCATGGTGAAGCTATGTTTTTCTATTGTGAAGCAAAACAAACAGGCCATCTAGCACTTGCTCAGTGGAAAAAAACTGATCGTAAAGGAAGCTTAAGTACATTACTGGTTTCTTACAACAAATACAGGTCAGGCGTAGGCACACCCAGTGGAAAAGATAGCACTGATATTCACACTTTATGCGGCCAGTCCTTCAATGTCATTACAAATCTTTAATTCCCTTGAGTTATTAAAAAATGTTGAGTCATTTTTTTTAGCTTCAATGAGTGGAAGTTTGAAGGAGTTTGTAATTTTATGAAATTTCATGTTTGTGAGCATACATACCTATTACTCTACAAATAGAAAGAATTTGTTGTGTATATTTGTTTGCAAAAATAGAAAATTATTAGAAGAGGCCAGTAGTATACTGAAAACATTTTCAGTGAAAAGTTGACATAACAGTGTATCACCAAAGTCTAAAATATGAGAACAATTTTTGAACAAGTTGATTCACACACTACAGACATTCAACATGCATATTAAGTTCAAAACAAAATCAAATAATTCTTATACTTATTGATGGAAATAGGTTCAAAACAATTGAGTCACCACATTTGGATTTGTATCAGATAAGTTCGTTAGTTCTAATTTTGTAGACACTTTCCCTAGAAAATACGTTATTATTTTCCATTGTGTAAGTATTTTTATTACAAAAGCAATATAAATTTTTGTGATGACTTGTAATGAGAGGTTGGTGTGAAATTAACACAACATTTTTTTAAATTTCTAGAATATACCCATTTCTGTGCCAAGCATTGACTAACTTTGCCAAAGATCATATTGAAAAGAAAGATAAGGAATTATATGTGAGTTTTTTTGATGTTGCTACTCTTCATAAAGTTCGGGAACTTACCACATCAAAAATTGGTACATTACTTCGTATATGTGGGCAAGTAGTGAGAACTCATCCTGTGCATCCAGAATTGGTGTTAGGCACTTTTGTTTGTCTGGATTGTCAAACTGTTATTAAAGATGTGGAACAGCAATTTAAGGTAAGCTGTAGCATTATATGTAGGTTTTCTGAGGTTTTGTCAGGTTTGCAGAGTAAAATCTTGATATTTTTAATTTTGCTTCCTCCAATAAAAAACAGCTAAATAGAAAAACATTACTTAGCTAAAGCAAAATTGTTGCATTTCATTGAATTTCTCTCTTTCAGTTCACAAATCCAACTATTTGTCGTAATCCTGTGTGCAGTAACAGAAGACGTTTCACTTTGGACGTTGAGAAATCTAAATTTGTGGACTTTCAAAAAGTTCGCATTCAAGAAACTCAGGCGGAGTTACCTCGTGGTGCTATTCCACGCAGGTAATTATTTAAGCATGGAATGGTATGAATTTAGCATGGTCCTTGTCACTTGTAATGAGAGCTTTTATGGTGTATGATATAAAAAAATACAATGAAATGAAAAATACAAAATACAAAAATAATCTTAGAAAATCATTTATCTAAAATCTTGTCCCAAGAGTGCTGTGTAAAGTTTTGTGAGTGAACTAGAGAGGTATGGAGTAATGCTCAAAAGTCAATTATTTAAAATTTGTATGCCCTTTTTTGTGTGAATATCTATGTTACAGTTATGTATATTATTACAGTTATGTATCTATGTTATGTTAATTTCAGTGTGGAGGTAATTTTGAGGTCAGATGTAGTGGAGACTGTCCAAGCTGGTGATCGTTATGATTTCACTGGAACACTTATTGTTGTACCAGACGTTAGTGTATTGAGCATGCCAGGTGCCAAAGCAATGCCTGGGAGTCGCCATAAACAGGGTGAAAACACAACCGAAGGTGTGCGAGGCCTCAAGGCACTAGGAGTTCGTGATTTAAATTATCGTATGGCATTTTTGGCCTGTTCTGCGCATTCAACAAATCCTCGAGTAAGTATTTTATTATGTATGACTATTAGATTTAGATTGAAGATGTTTAATATTTCCATGAAACAAAACTTTATAAACATGATTAATCAGTT